AAATTCATATTTTTTGTAATTATGCGAAAGAAAATGCAAAAATGGATTTCGCCTGTCTGCGATATTTCACATCATCCACCATACCTGTCGAACTTCTCCCAATCTCCTATCGATTTTTTTGCCATTGCTAAAGCTGTTGCCTTTAGATTGCTCTCCATGCAAATTCGGCAAAACAATCCTTATCTTCAAGGCACTGGCCCGCCAATATATTTAAACCGTCGCAAATTCTAAAGAGTTGAAGATGCAATTGCATGCGAACTATCTCATCCTTTTGCCTTCCTTTAATTTTGAGGATCAAAAAACTTGCTTGGATTTGTCTCTTTTTTTGTTAATTTTACTTCCTTGCTGAAAACACAATTTGTAACAGGGATTATGATAGGATGAACCAAATTTTCCCATGAGATATTTGAGTCCGTTTAACGGAGGGCTTTTTGTTGCTAGAAAATGCGGAAAATATTTAATTTTGTGTTCGCAAAATGTGCGTCCTACCCAATTTTCAACAATCTAATATTTTGACCAAACGTACTGCCAGAAACACAACTTTCCTTGCGTCTATGCCTATGTGGCACGCGTAAAAGAGCCAAAAAAGCCTAGCTTTAATTGCATCGTTATAATAGTTTTTGACTTGCCGATAGCAGTTACCTTGCCATGTCTCATATTCAAAAGAACATACTTCTTCAAAATTAATACAACGGAGTGAGAAAAAAGAATCTACTTTACAACAAAAAAAACCTACAGGACCTTATGTGGCTAAAAAATGAGTGAGAATGAGGCTACAGAACACAATGTATTTTGGTGCATTCATTCTTTTCTATTATATAAGTAGCGTACTCAAGACAAAACCAATGATCTACATACTTTTGTTTTACTTTAAACCCAGCCATGTTTACTTTTCAATCATTAACAGATCGGTTAACTTTTGGGTATTTTTTGCAAGTAATCGAATGGTGCACTTAATTATGTTGAAGTGCCAAGCAGAGTTTTCCTCAACGAAAATCATAATGCATATTAATGTTTTTAGCCGACTGAAATGTTCTTTTTACAAATTCTTGGCTAGTAAAATACAGCTTCAAATTTACATACAAAATTTCTTCCTTTTGTCGCTACCGTAAGTGACCAGAGGTGGTGCCTTTGTGCTGCATTCATCACAAGATTCCTTTTTTTGTTTTGTTTTTCAATGGATTGTTCGAAATTTCAAATTAGAAGAGAAGAACTACTACATAAGGGCAACAAAATTACAGAGGAAGTGTAAATAATTGGGAACCCTAAGAAACCTTTGACCCTTTTGACAGTCCTTCTCATTCCAATCCAAAATTTACTACTAACTTTTATATTCCAAAAGGAACGCTGACAAGAAAATAGTAGTAGTACTAATTAGTAAATGCTCGTGATAGGTCATTGAAATATTCATAAATTCTCTAATTATATATAATGGAGACACAGAGTTTAAGCGGAAAACGAGGCTAACGTAAGAAAACTCCAATAGTTGTAGTGCTAGGATATGTATCTATTTCCTTTTAATAAGCAATAGTAAACTCCTGTGCTGTTGAATAAGTTGAATAAGTACTCACTATATTTATACCTCAGTTTAAATTTATCTTGCTTGAATTATCAACACATATCCTTCTTCAATTTGAAGAGCACTTCTGCGTAGCCACGAGCTTGCATACAATACCGCTCATAACTTCTGCAAGAAAACGCAATTTCACGTAAAAATCCGTCGCAAGCGTCGCTCGTCATAACTTCTTCGGAAAATATTTTTCCAAAAAAAATCGGTTCTAGACTCAGCTAGTTCAGACGAATCCTGAGTTATGCCACGCTACAGTAACTTCTGGGGTGTACGGTAGATACGATAGGAAGTCAACATCGCGAAATCACGTTTTTTTTTTACAAAAGTTATGAGCGGTATTGTAGCATTCCGCATCAAACTGAAAAGTTGTAAAACAATATAATTTCTCATTCTTGGTTGTGTCCCAATTGTAATTACGAATTTTTCTAGAATTTATATATTTTAGCCTACCCACGACGCTTTCAACATCAGCGGTGTTGTCCAAGCGGCACAAGAAGAAGCTCAAACGCAAAAAGAAGCGAGGACTGGTGACAAGGTAGATGGGGGGCCTGGTCTTTGTTACTTTTTAGATCGATAAGCCTAGGTGAACCTTCCAACAAACGACTTAACATTGATGCATGAGGCAATTCCATTTTTACCAGTGCCTGTAGCTCTGCTTTGCTTACTGCTAAACGTGGTTATACCTGGGACAGGTAAACATTTTTGATTCTTTTTCATTGTTTTTCAATCTGTTCTATCTAAATATTGTTATTATTGAGGTACGGTACTTTCTGGGATATCGGCATTATGCCTCGGACAGCCACGTGTAAACCTGAAAGAGGGACGAAAGCTTGTAACGTTGGTACGTTTTGAATGATTTTCCTCTGAGATTTTAAAACAATTTTTTTCTGAATTTTTGGAGTAGAAATTGAGTTGAACTTTTCTGAACTGCCTTAGCATATGTTTTTGCACACGTTTATATTAAAGTTTCTACTCTTACACCAAACTGCAATCAAATGTTGAACCCTAATGAAAGGGAGAAACTTAAGTA